CTTTGAATAGTTGAACCTTGCAGCGATAATGACTGAAAGGTGTGATGATGGGGACTGAATTAAAAGACAAACAAGTGGACTGAATCATAGTTGAAAAACAGAAATGAGCAAATAGATGACATTACACCTTACATCTACCCACAAACAAAGTACATCATGTCCAATCTGCTCCAGTGTAGCTTGCGCTGTAGCACAAGAAGAAAACAAACGTGTGGTTCTCCTGCAGAACTCCCCGAGTGAATTGGAGCTGCTGTATGAATGTGAAACAGGGCATTGCAGAACAAGAGCGCACATCCTCTGCAAACTTTCACTGAATAATTTAATGATCTGTGTTTTAAGAAATAAAACTGTTTTTCTATTTTCTGTTGCTGACTGATCCGACGCCATTGCAATTCAATCTATATGCTGTTTTTGAAAGCTTTTTCATTTTCACCTATAAAACAAATAAGTGTCTGGCAGGTCCTTCCACAGGAAAAATCCTTCTGCATGCAGAAATTGCTGGTGATTCTTCCCGTGTTTTGATCCACTTAAAATGGTCTTTGAACATGGTTAAGGATTCATATAGAAAGTAAGAGAACACCAACAACCTCATGGTTTGTTCGAATGTATGCTCACTTGCAATGCTTTTAAGTTCTTTTAATGCTTTTGGAAAGATTGTTTTTGAGATGCCTAAAATGTATTCAGATTTATTAGATTGTTTTTTATATTTTTGTACAATTATGTATTTTTGTATTTGCAGTTTAAAAGCAAATGTCCATTAAAGTGTCAGAAGGTTAAAGGAGGACATCATGTTTCGGAGGGATTAGCCTATTAGTTCGCTTCGGCTGGCAAAGGCTTAGGCAGACCTATTTTACGTCATTTAAAATCATTTTCCCACTGATCTGACAGTTATGTGAAATCTATAGTAAACTGTAATCATTTTATTGAGTGTTTTGGCTCGAGGCATCTTGGTCTCACAATAAAGTTGCGCTGTATACCAAGTGTAGTCGGAGTTTTGACCTTTTCAGACTACATTACATTTACATGTACTTTGGGGATAGATGGAGTTGTGCCAGAAATCCCTAAACTGTAATCAGTATCAGATAAATGTTAATGAGGGCCTTTGTACAAGACATCTTTCACTTAATTTGTAATTGCATACTTTGTTACAGTGAGCAGGGGGTGTGGGTGGGGGTTGGAAGGATGTAGGGAGTGGCGTGTGGGCAAAAGGTGTGGTGCTGACACCATTGCCATCTGGAAGGCCGGTGGGAGCTGAGGACCTAACCGAGAGAGCAGACTGCCACCTCATACACACACACCTGATCTCAGGCCAGTGTCTGCGTGTGTGTGTAGAGAGAGACAGAGAGGGATTTAGTACAAGGAATATTACAGATATCAAGAGGGTGTGTTTGTATGACCATTTAATATAACTCTATATATCCATCTGCCACCTGTGTTTACAGACAACAGAAGTGAAAGCAAAATGGGTTGATAAAAAAAGAAGAGAGCGTGAGGAACAGTGACAGATGGAGAGAGAGATGTGAAATGATGAAATAAGATCTAAATGTGTCAGATCATATTGGCAGGAGCGTCTCAAATCAGAACTACTGTTCCTTTGATAATAATCACATGACCTGAACCATTTGTGTTCACATGCTGCTGAATCCCCAGAATGAATGACAAATATGATTAGTGACACTGATGCAATAGTGTGCCGGCAAAGGGAAAATTCCAGGAAGAGAAAATAAGGGGAAAGATTCCTCAACATTATATTTTAAAACTCATGGACATGGAATGCTTCTCTGACAGAGGTTCAGTCCTACAAAAGCCAATGGTAAAAAATAATTTTAGTGGTTTCTTGTGGGCAGAAGGAAGCATTTGGGTTAGGGTTAGTGAAGGAAAACAAAGCCCTGTATTGGTCAGACTCCACAGTGTGGACAGGCAGGCCGGCTGGCTAGACCACTCAAATCCTTTGCAAACAGGTCCCCACTGCATGCTAGAGTGCAACTGGACAAAAACATGAGAGGTGCACCGACAGTATCCGTAACACCGGTACAGGTGCTGACAACGCACCTTCATACTCTGCATCTGAAAATTAATTATTTTGCTTCAAATACCAGAACTGATACGTTTGATGATGTGTCCTTTCCCCCTTCAGTTTTTCCATTATAAAAGGAAGAATAAATGGTGTGAAAATTCTTTATCGTCACTTTAGAGAATGCTTAAAATGACAGTATAACAGTTGAGGTTACAGTGGAGTACAGTGACCTTCCGTGAATTTATTTATTTGATGTACATTTTAATTAAATGCCAGATTATTTGTAGGTTTTATATGCACCTCTAGTGAATATAAAAATGTTGCTTTGCTCTTTCCATTTCCTTTTCCAGGCTCAGTAGTTTTTTCATTCCCTTTCCAGCATCCTGTAGTCAGCTTTTTCAAAATTAATCATTTTGAGGCATTATAGCTTGTTAAAAGGATATCTTCACCTTTATGGCCACCCAACTCCCCATGCCGCTATTTCACCAGAATCTTCTTTTGTTATGGCTGCACAATTAAAAATATTATCAAATCATAATGTGGCCAAATGCAATATTCAAATTACACAAGCTTTCATTTTTGAATAAAAGGTCAAACGTGTGACAAAACAGCATTCTAATGAAGCACCGTAATGCTGCAGAGATGTACTGGCCTAAAAAGCTATCTTCTCCAGATGTAAGAAAACAGATCTTCAACAAATGTCCCAGCATCATGATTTTAGTGATTATCTGGCATTTTGAGATAATTGGCATTGGCTGTCTGTGCTCAAAAGTCAGATAAACAAAATCTTCTTCACATCTGCAGGTAGCCTTGATAGTGTGGCTGATGTGGAACAATGTTAGCACTCCCCCTTGTGAGTTTTGGGAAGGTAGTGAAAAATTGGTTTTGAGCCCTGTACTATAACTCTCATGCATCCTGCTGTAAACATTTGCCTACATTTCCTATAGAATAGAATTATATATGACCTAGCTTTGTTTTGATATTGGCATTATATATCGGCCAACCCATATTGGGCAACCACTAATTTTAATAGTTTGTTTGGTGAAAATACCCACTAATCCTGAATCATATCACAATTGTAATATCAGTTAAACAATCGCAATATGATTTTTTTTAACCATATTGTTCAGCCCCAGTTTCTCTGTAACTATGTGGCTGTTCAAGAGACTAAAACTTGAGCTATTTCCAGTAGTGTTTTTTATCATCATCAGTTATTATCTTGATCAATCAGTTGAACAGTTTTGTGAATAAAATGTCACAAAATAGCGAAAAAATGCTTTTCAGAGCCGAAAGTGAAATCTGGCTTATTTTGTCTCACCAACATTTTAAAACCCAACAATATAAAATTGAGGGCTGCAACTAACAATCATTTTCATTACTGATTTGAGAGGATTATTCTCTCAATTAATCGTCTAGTGAATAAAATGTCAAAGAAAAGCAGCAGATCTTCACATTTAAAAAGCTGGAAACAGAATTCTTTTGCCTTGCCTTTGCTTGAAAAAGATTTGAATCATTTAAACTGTAGTTTAATTTTCTGTCAATTAACTCACAGTTTCAGCTCCTTTTCCTGGTTTTGATAGCTTGTGGTTACCTCTTCATCCCTACACCACCACTGCCATGGAGTGCACATAAAGCAAACAATGCAAAGCTACAGTAAGTGGACACAAATTTATACGCTGTGCTGCGTTTGACTGTTTCTACTTCTGGCAAGTTTGACTTTGCTGTTATTACACCGCTGCCTTAAGCATGGTCAGAGCAGGTCTGATGGAGTCTGGGTCTACTGCTTCTTGCACTGTTGGCTACATTGTAGGTCAATGTGCACACTAACTAAATCATGTACAAAAACACACTAGTATGCATACAAACACATACAGAGTGAGGCCCCTTGGCTATACAACCATTCTCCTTGCCTCCAACATAATGTATGTTGTTTGTTTGCTGGATCTGAGCTAGCCAGCAGCATTACCCTGATGCAGCCAAGCGTAGCCTGCACTGGACACACACTCTGTCAACGGCAGTAAGCAAGCAGAGTACTGCACTGCCAGAGATATGGAGCAACAAATCTATACCTCTCACAGAATGGGAGGGTGTGAATGGGGGTATCTAGCTACAGTATATGATAGAATTTGATAAACAGCAGGGGGTCAGGAGGCAGGTCAGCACACCATTAACTTATTCTGACAAATTTGATCCATTGCACACAATACTGGGACGAGGCAATGGGCGTCACCTAAGAGGGGTGAGAAAAAAAACTGAATAGAAAGAGGAAAAACTGGCAGGAAGCATAAAACAAACAGAGACCGTCTCTACTGCAGGAGATGAGAAGAGATAAGAGACATCAGAGGGAGAGAGTCTGCTTTATCAGAATGCAACAAGAGACCAGGAGAAACGCACTCCCTCCAGGGAGAGGGAGGAGAAGGGATGGGCAACATAGAGGGGGAGGGCTGATGTAAAACTGTATTAGAAATCATGTTGAGTTGCATTAAAAGAAATAATATAAATACTTTTTGACTTACTGCAAGATTGTAATGGCAAAAACCTGCAATTCTTTGGGATATCCTAAAATACAACATATTGGACGATCCGAGGGAATGGAAATGGAGGGAAACGGATGTTCTCATATTCTGCTCTTTACTGTATATTTCTCTTTTTCCAGTATAAAATGGTCTTAAGCTCAGCGGGGAGAGTCTGGGACTCCACATTGGGAAACTAAGGCCTTTGTTTTAATTAACAGTTCAATTATCAAGCAGCTAATGGCTTGGTACATATAATGGGTTAATAACTCAGCAAGAAAGATCAATCATCTGATTGTCATTTTATGAAGCTGGAGAAAGTTCCAATTAAGGCATGCACATGCATTGGTTCTAGGTACAGTATTTGGTGTGTATGTGTGTGTGCTGTTATATCAGTGAAGAGCACAGAGCTGCAACCATTCCTGGGATGGGTTTTCCATTAGATGTTTGTGTGAAATGGAAAAACTGACCTACTATCAGCTCTTAGCTGTACATATGAGGAGGTCATTTTCTGTAAGCCGATGATCCTGATGTTTGGCAGTCTGTCATGGTCACAAAGTAGCTGTTAGCAGCTTGTAGAGTGTGGGTCAACAGTCTAAAATGAAAGAAAAAAAAAGAAGAAAAATCCATCTAGTCACTGAAACATTTAGGGGGATTATTTTTGTAGCATTTATGTCCTAAAGGTACGTTGAATCATGATAGTTTCAAGATAACCTTATGTACAGTGGATTCATTCAAATGAATTCAAATGAAGCATTTAAAAATGTGTATGTGTTTGAGGCCATGAGTGTGGGCATGCACCCAATGATGCAGAAAGGGTGCCAGTACCCTTTGAGGAAGGAGCATGTGTCCAGCATCCACCGCTGTTGTGCTGGGTCACAGATGTCACCTGCTCCAGCAGCCTGCCTCACACCACTTGCCCTCCCCCACCACTTGCCCACTTGTAAACAGCACTACACTGGAGGCAAATACAAGTAGCCCGCAGTGTTAAAAGTTATTTGGATTTTAAATTATTGTTTCGTTTGAAAAATCTAATTCAAACATGCGTCGCAGGATGATCACAAGTGTCCTCGAACAGTCGCTCGAATAAAAAGAGAAATGCTATCCGGAGCTAGTGGCTATGTTAAGTTGCCTTGGCCTTGCCAAGTACTGACACTGCAAGTTCAACTGAATTAAACACTGCTGGCTCGTGGGTTGGTAGCCTTAAACACAACAAATTAGCCTGGAAAGAAGCCTGGCAAAGGAACGCATACATAGATAATGTCAGCCAGAAGAAAAAGTGTGAAACCACCAACACACAAAATAAATCAACAAGGAGACAAAGGAGGGTGTGTACGTGTTTGTCTGTGGCAAGAGCATATAGACTCTGCTAATCTTTCGAAGGAGCTCCCTTGCAATGGTGTGGTCATCTTTTTGAGAGGGCCTGAAATTCCTTTTGCACGCCTCACCACTTGTTTGCTTGAGAAGCCGAGAATGCTTTACCACAGGAATCCTCCATGGAGATTGTTGATGTGAGGATCTTTCTCTGTCTCTCTCTCTCTAAATGTGCCCACCCACACATCACTGACATTTCTTTTCAGAGCGTCTTTAAATTACCACGCATATTAGTGAAGCACTGCCAAGACCCCTTTTTATTATTCCTCTTAATCTTGTGTGTTTACGGGGTCAGCGGCTGCCCCCACTCCACCCTACGCCTTTCCTCTCCCCTTTCCTCCTCCGCCTCTGTGCTCCAGCTAGCAGAAACAGACAAGTGGTTACACCCAGTCTCCCATGGAGCCCCTGCTGCACTGCACCGACAGATCAGGATAGGACAGCATGGCACGCTCCCGCTACACGCCTGCCTCCTCTCCCTGCACTTACCACCAACCAAACCCACTTGCTACCAACTGTGAGTCGCTTCTCATAAAAACCAGCCAAGCAGTTCTGCGTGCCAGTGCAATGTGTCATGATTTTAATGAATAATCTGGAGTTTTTCTTTTTTTTTTTTTTCGAGGGGTGGGGCGGAGGGGGGGGGGGGCCATAAATGTTTTGAACAAAGTGCTTGTGAAATCATCAAACAGCATCTGAAATCCCCTCCCCATACCGTCACACTCTTCTCTATGACAGCAAGTTTTTGTTTTTTCCCCCCACCTTTGACTACGGCCATTCAGAACAGATATATGAAACTCTGTTTGACAAAGTTTGACAAGTGTGTAGGATTTAATGGCATCTAGCGGTGGCATTTCACATCGCCTAAGATATGGTGTCCACATGAAATGGGAAGCACGGCGCAGACAGATGGGGAGGGAACTTGGGTAAATCACCTTGGTACCGCCGTTGTTGAACTGCCAGCGTCTCTCTCAAAGGCTCTGTTTGGTGCTGATCTGGCCGTGTTTACTGGGAGGCTTCTTAGGTCTGTATTGCTAAAAAATGGTTTGCCCTATGTTCGGGTAATGTAAAAAAAAATTCAGGTAGATAATGAACAGTTGCCGGGGCAATGATAGCAGACGTTTTGGCCTTTATTTTAGCTATAAAAAGGACAGTCTCTTTAACTTCAGTCCTTTGAGAGAAGGCCAGAATGGAACTTAGAGAGTAAATCTCATTGGGATGGCTTTAAGTCCATTAACATAAGTAGTTAATGGTGAACTACTCTTTTCAAGTTAAGTTTTTGAACAAAGTGCTTAAGTTTAACATTCAGATATGGTTAATAAAACAACGGTAAAAATCGTGATTTTTCGGTTTAGCTTGAAATAAAAATCCAAGTCCTCGAAGAGGGTTCACTCAAGTACGAAAGCAGGGGCATAAGCGGAATATGGGGGCCTGGTGGGCGCTAGCAGCCCATGCTTCTAATCCCAGTTAAGACAACCCCGGCAGGCGAGCCGACACAAAGGAGTTTGGTCCAGTGTTAGTGGAATTAAAGCAAAGCCTCTCCTCTGTTGTTATGCTAATCCACAAGACAATGATTATCTGCAGGGAAACGTTGCCACGGTGATAAACATGGCTCAAGAGTGCCTCAATTAGGGCAGCAATTGCCAAAGGAGAGCAAAGACCGAGTGAGTACGATGATGCTGTTATGAAAGAAAAAAAGGAAAAAGTGCGCGGGAGGGGTTTGTTATTTCAACCGAGTGGATGGGTCAGCTTTAAAAGAGAAACTTACAGATGAAGCTTGACCCTCACAGCTTGACCTTGGCCAGGCTTGACCCTCTTCCATGCTGTAAAGACTTCCCCACTCACTGGGACAAGTACTTCAATAGTGAACATGTAATTAGCTCTCAAATGCAGACGGAGTACATTATGCTGCAGCTGCTATAGGCTACCATTATGACTCTCAATAACATGTTCTCTATGCTGTGCATGTGGAATAATGATGAGTGAGTATGCCATACTGCACTTTATTCATCCTCTAATGTGGCAGCAAAGCAGTTCAGGTGGTTGCACTGTTCTTCTTTTGTTTAAACATCACGAGTTGGAGGACAACCATAACACTGGAATCATCTATAATAATCATTCATTTACAACACAAATCAAAGTGAGGAGGCAAAGCCCTCACCGGGTGTTTAAAGCTCCTCACTGACTTGATGTGCCAACTTCAATTCTTTGCTGTTGTCACAAGATCAAAGACAACTAAAAACCGGGCTAGGGGAGGCTGTTTTCTGTTTCTGGAGCGACTTGTCACACAGCTATTTTACAGATGCATATTTGGAAACCTGGTAGTATGGCTGCCATCGCACGAGTGTCTCCTCGATCCTCGTCAAAACTAATACTGGGTCACCGACAGACCGCACACATCCCATTCCTCTGTCGCACTGTCCTACTGTTTCCATGAAGACCGTTTTTTGGTATGTGGTCAGTCACTTGCTCCCTGCCTCCTTTTCCGCTCCCCTTCTGTCCCACAGCTCCAACAGCATAATAGGCCTTGGACTGCTGTGTCATCTCATTGAGTCCTATTAGGGGCTCTTATATCTGACTGGCATGTTGTTATTGCTCTCCCAGACCACAGCTAAAACTGAGGAATGGGTCTGCCAAGCAGGCCCTTTAAAGTCCCCTCTGCATTGATGGCACTAGCAATAAGGAGCAGTGGGGTTGCGGTGGAGGGTGCTACCACGACAACATGAAAAGAGAGGAAGGGGAGGTGGTGACACCATGTGATGCAATACCCCTGGGGCTACATGACAGGCATGTGAGATGCAAATGGTGTCATGCTGGTTCGCTATGGGCTTTGCCATAGGTGAATGCCAATGCTGCCACTCTCAGTAACGCTGAAGAAGGACTGAGGGGCATCAACAAGTTTGCAAAGGCAGCAGGATAACATAAAAGAGCTGAATAGGGTGAAAAGACACATCACTCTGCAAAATCACTCTACGACCACGAGGGAACTTTTTGTAGTTTAACTGAGTGCCAACTCTTCTCTAGAGAAATGATCTAACTGATCGTGATGTGTTAAATACAGGAGAGCCCCAGTTCAACGTTTTGTGAATATCTAATCAAATATCACAGTTTCACGGTATAATGGTACACGGTATTACACAATTATTATCATCAATTAATGACCCTTAAAAGCAATCAAAACAGGTTTTCTTTGGTTTCGCCCCAGGGATCAATAAAGTATTTCTGATTCTGAACGCTTTATTATAATTTCACAAAATATAATGTATTATATATTTTTAATAACACTAATATGGTACAATTATTATTTTTTGAAACAACACCAATGCCCTAGAATTCAATACCATAGATAAGCAAATGTGCACCGCTAATTTCCATACCATGGTATACCATTTTAGGGGTATAAGTAGTTTGTTACATTTGCTATTTCGTGCTATTTTGTGTCAGAACAATCAATAACAATGCTCATCTCATTTTCAAGTTGTAGCGGCATGTTGAGAAAAGTAATTAGGCTAGATTAATAAAATAACATTTTAACAACACCATAATAAATGAATAGGCTTGATGATGAATTTGGTAGCGACTACTAAAACCTTTCTGGCTTCTCTTCCAACAACAGGTGATCAAAGGTCTAAGCCGAGTTCTTTTCCTCTTTCTGGGGTCCATGGAGCCTAAAAAGGCATCAAAAAGAAGCAGCAACTGTACTTCCCAAACCTAAAAAGGATAAAAGACCACACTATCCTCCTGCTCCTCAAACCTCATGCTGGTAAAATCACACTCCTCCCCACATGCAACCAGCTAAACTATAGATACACCATGTCTACCTGATGCTTCAGAGACAACAGACTTCCAACACTGCACTCAAAAGCAAATGTAACACAGGAAGACGATTGTTTCTTAGACATTATCTGTGAAATAACTGTTCTGCAATGCATGGCATTACAGCAAAGATAGATAGCAGAGGTCAGGGGGTGACATGACAAAGATAATGAGTCAAACGTACACAGTGTTCTAGCAAATGTACAGCTCAATTCATTGTGGTTACTGTTTACATAAGAATGCAAAGCCCTTTTCACTTCTGCAATCATTTATTTTAGAGGTGATGAAATCAATTTTCCCCTTTTTGATGGAAAACCCCTGGCAGGCAACAAGATCTATGTTGTTTTGAGAGTAATACATGTTACTTTTCACAAGACATGCACATTACTTATATAAACTGCCCCTGCAACC